CAACGGTTTGATATGTTGTGGTCACAGACTGTGTCAGTTATATTTCAGAAGACTGCATCTGGAGTGGGAATAGATCCCAGTTCTGAAAAGGACTTTGTAAGAGCTATTTTCACTCGTCTTTAGATTTCCAAAAGAAAAAAGATTATTTATAGTGGCACTAGATACGTGCTCTGTGGAGCTTAGTAATTTGGCCTGACATTACATTGTTTAATTTTCAGATTGAAACTGGTTCAAAAGTTGAATTGCCATTTTGGCTTGCTCATGAGTTACAGATGAGACAGGCAGTATCAGTCAACATTCCCTCTTGTTTTGATAAAACGTAGTGGTTATTTAATGTCTTTTTGTTACTTATGAGTGCTTTTTATCATATAATTGATCATTTCATGACGCTGACGAGTTCAGAGGCACTTTTTAAGTGTACTTTTATTTCTGTTGCGCCTGAATTTTTTTGGCAGACCTTTCCTGTTAGTATCTTCCTTCATTGGTTTTAAATGGATTTTAGAACCAATTTTTTTTTTTCTCATCCTTAATTTTCTTGTTGGTTTTAATAATTAGTGCATGTTGTGTGGCATGGAACTTTGGGTAACAACAAATTCAATAATCAATGTACATGGCTTTCAAAGTAATAGTTAAAAAACGGATATTGGCTTACGCACGCTAAGTTGCATTACCATTTATATCGAATTGTACTTCAGGAATTTTTGATCTCTTGAAAGTGTCACATTTTTTTATCTTATAGAATATGATTCTTAACTTCAGAACAAGGCTAGAGATCCAAGCTGATTCGGCCGGTGTGGATCTGAGGTCCAGATGTCCATTCTTTTATGAGTTTGGTTGCAAGATAGCACCCATGTAAGTTTTGCTTATGCTTGTATTTTCTTGCTTGTATGAAATAGCTTTTTATTTCTCTTTTGGTTTAAATTTTACTGACACATTTTACTGTTTTCTTATATTTGGTTGATTAAATATTTTATTGCTGTCTCTGAAGATAGTATGTGGCTGTCAGAATCTTTCTTGTATTATTACATGGTTCATGCAGCATCTCATTCAAATATTTATTATCATTAATTTCGTCATGAGTTCGGTCAACCTAATAATTTTAAGATAGCCAAATGTTCAAAAATTGGATTTGGTCCAGCAACATCTCAGCCCTTGATTCGTAATAACACTTTAATCAAACAGGAGAGATAACATAATATATGGTCATAATTTTTGAGGGAGAATCCACAAATTTATCTTCCGACTTTACCACAAATTCCCTGAACCATTTTTCTCAACATTGGCAACATTTTTTTGCGTATCTTCCTGATTTATTTTTCATTTATGGCAGAGTTGGCGACCGAACCATTGGGTTTCTGTTGTTGTCTGCTTTTAAGAGTAGGTACAAGGAAATTCTCACGAAGGCCCATTCTGTAGCATTTGCTGCTGGTTCCAAATTTTGGTCTATTCTGACAAAAGAAGAGATCAACTGTGAGACGTGTTATCCTTTCTAAATGAAACATGTGTGATCACATCTCTTTTCCTCTTGAGACATTCGTTTTAATTTTTGTTCTAATCCTTTATGTAGTGTATGAGACAGCTCAATCCGAAATGGCATCCTTCAAAAAGTGGCGAATGGGAGGGCCCAGATTTCAGATAGCTTCTGTTCTGGGAAAAAAGAGAAAATCCACTGAATAGTCGCTTTGCTTTAAACCTTGTAAGCATCTATATGTCCCAATGTTATGCTGTTCTGAATATGTATAAAAAATGTCAGTTTTTTTGTGTTCATGTAGACTTGATACAAATATAATGCGTTGTAAATTTCCAATTACGGATACATAAACGTAGAAGTGAATTTACTGACCACCTTGTGGCTATGTTGTGTGCCAGTGAGTCATAGTCAAATCATCTGTACCATAACACTGATCACGGGTTGTGCCTACAGTGTACTAAGTTGCTCGGGTGTGATTTTTTGAATATTTCACACACAGCATACTTTTCACCAAAATAGCATTCTGATGGTTTTATTTATCAAGATAACACATTTTTACTGTGCTAGTTCAAAATTTAGTTCCCGAAAAACTAAATTTACTGTACTATCGTGGTAAATAAAATCTACATGCATATTATTTTGGTAAAAAAAAGAAAGTCAGTCAGTTATATGTGAAAAATTCGTGATTTTCCCCCGTAAGTGGCACTTTTTTAAAAAAAATCTGCAGCTGGACTCTTGAAATTTAACTTCCTAATTAGCACCTTTTACTGTTTATGATTGAAATTTGATCCTGAGCAGCTGAATTTCGACTTCCAATATGCGGTTTTTCTTGTTTTTTTTTATGCCAGGTGAGGGGAAGATTGTAGCACTGTAACATGTCAGAATTCAGTCTTTGAGAAGTTGGGTTTTAACCTTTGATTGTGTTCTTCTAACCGGAATTTGGTCTTGTAACTAGAAAAGCAAAACGGACGCGGAATTTGGCTCTTTGAATATTGAATTCCCACTGTGAACAGTAAAAAGTGTTAACTGGATAAATAAAATCTAGATTGATTAGAAACTTTTTTTTGTGAAGTGTCACTAAAGGAAAAAATTCACAGGATGTTGAAGGTTGAATTAACAAACACGGCTACAAGCCTAAGAACGTTCTTTGAATGGGTATATAAACTAATTTTAATTTATGAAAAAATATATTTTTTAGAAAAGTATTTATAACAAAAGTTAGTCCAATTTTAATTATAAGTAAATACAACCGATAGCCTGAATTCAGCATGAAAAAACAAAGGAAGAAACATGTAAGAAAGATAAAAAGAGAGAAGACATTAAAACAAGAAAGAATAAGTTCAAAAATGCTTGAAAATCCTTTTTCGATGCTCATACAAAAATAATATGAAATATTACAAATGTCAAAATCCACATTAAGTTCAATAAATGTTATTATGCGTAGTACTCTTGTAACAAATAAAAAAAAGTTCTAGCAATATAAAAAGACACAGAAAAGCAAAAAAGAAAAGTTTAAGAAGATATTTTTTCAGCTGATCCAAGATATTTTGGTTCAAATGGAATCAAGTTGATGAAGTTAACGATGGCATAGTGAAATTGATAACATAATTTATCCCTAAAACTAATAATGTTATGTTCTCTGTTGGGACCAAATGTGTTCCCTTTTTTCATTTTTCGTTTGTAGGTATATATTCGTCTTCGATCGTGCTGTGCGTTGGAATTTTGTTTTTCCCTTTTTTTAACTGTGGGAGATATTTTGGTGTAACTATCTTAGATGTGTGGCGCGTGACACATGAAATTAGATATTTTATGCACTTTCTATCCACGCAGGCAGAAACTTGGTTCTTTTAATCGTCGTGGCAATGCACTTTTCGCTTTTTGCATCCAATCCTCTAGATATTTTCAACCTAATGCTTTCCCCACTCCCACCTTGCCGCGTGCATCTTCCTCAACATTTTCTTCTGTTGACTATCCTTTTCTTTTTTCTTAATGGACCACGGATACATTCATTTCCACTCTGTTTTTAATATAATTAAGAGAAACTAATCAAACTTTATTCCTTATAACTTAATTTTAATTTACATTACTGGAGTTTTATCTCTTATTTTTTCTATTTTGGAATCGATAGATTTTAGTCTTTATCTACAATTTTCAAATTCTTATTTATTCTTCAAAATGCTTTCGAATTCAATTGCTAAATTTTTTTATTTTTATTCAAAAGTCACCAACTAAAACTTTATGCCAAAACAGAAAATACCCACTTTTTCCTTTTCGAACCCTAACTTTACATCAAAATGCCCACTTTTCCTTTTTTTCAAACCCAAACTTTACATCAAATCCTTTAAATTTACTAATTTTATACTACTTTTCTAACTTCTAAACTGTTGCTACATTTTGTGTTCTAAACTCGTTATGAAACGCTAGATATTTGAATTAAAATTGTAAATTTGGGAAGTTTAGATGAAATTTTGATAAAATGGATAGACTTGATTTTAAAAATCGGAAAATTTTAGTTGAATAAAAAAATTTAAAACTAAGAGTTGAAGAGATTTTAAAAAAATTTATTTAAACCTTTTTTAGTTCAGGGTTCACAAAAATATATATTTTAATAGCTTTGTGGCATTATTCAGTTATAAAGTATAGTTACGATAAATTGTTGGCACTTATAATAATTTTTTAAATTAATATAATTTATTTTTTTATGTGTCTTATTCTTTTTAGAAATTTGATTGTGTAATACATTATGAATTAAATTGAATACTTATTTTATTAAAGATTTATCAAATATAAAACTCCTATTTAAAGTTGGCCTAAAATAATATTCTATTGCACTTTTGACTTTTCCTTCCAAATCTATCTTTCTTTTCCTTACTTTATTTGCATCTGTAAAGTTGTGCTGCACGCGCCAATGGATAGTCGCGTAAGCTCTTCATATGAAACGTATCACGGCACGTGCGAATGTGTGATTCTCTCTGTAGATCCAATTGCTAAATGGGGCTCATACTGTTTCATATCCAAATTTGGCTAAACGCCACTTATCATAGTTTATTATGTCTCTGCGATATTAAAATAATAATATTCCAAACAAAATATATATTATAATAATTAAATTACTTTTAATTTTATAAAAAAAATATATAAGAAAATGAGAAAAATGCAAAATTTTATCAGTCTTCACTGTTTAATAAACTTGAAAGAAAAATCTTAAAAGTAATGTATAATTGAACCAATTTAAAACAAAATGGGATACCGTGAAAGAGATTTATAAAAAAACTTTCATAATACCCTTGCCCTGATTTAAATTTAAATTTAAAATATACAGATAAGTGAAGTACATTTTTATTGTTTATAATAATACCATACTATTCAAATTAAATATCTTTGATAAAACGTAGAAATGATTATAGTAAAAAGAGAAAAATAATGGCCTTGTTAAAAAGACATGTTTGATCTGAAATCTGTGAAGTTTTGAAGAATAACATGTTTGCCCTTGCAGTGCTGTATATATATGGCATTGCCCCTTCCTCGTGAAGTCACAAAAAATTTGCTATGTCTAACCCAACAAGACTTGGTTGAGTCGTCTCTGCGTTTCATGCACAGCACATGAACTCATCTTGCTCCGCTGCAGACTCCACCATGGAAGATCCCTCCAACCACCGCCGCTCCAAGAAGCACCACCGCCGCCACAACAGCCGCCACCCCGCCGCTACCAACACCACGGTGAGCACGACCACCGGGGAGTCAGACGGGGAGATGGAGGAGGGGGAGGACGGCGACCCGGAGGTGTGGGCGAGCCTGAACAAGGGGTTCCGGCAGGTGCAGTCGGTGCTGGACCGGAACCGGCAACTGATTCAGCAGGTGAACGAGAACCAGCAGTCTCGGATGCACGACAACATGGTAAAAAACGTGTCCCTCATTCAGGAACTCAACGGCAACATCTCCAAGGTTGTCTCTCTCTACTCTGATCTCAACTCCAATTTCACCAACGTTTGCCAACACCGCTCCAAAAACCCTTCCAAATAAATCCAGTCATGTTTCCTTCTTTTTTAATCGTGTCTGTCTCTCTCTATATATGTATGTGTCTGTTGTTGAAGTTGAAGATTTGTGATGGTAATTTTTGGCTTTGTTTCCTCATCAATTGTCAATAAGGACGGTGAAAAGCGAAGCATACTATCGTCTTATTTACTTCTTTCTACACATACTATTACTGTTGTCGACTCTAGTCTTACTTTTCTGTAACTTCACTTTCTCTGTACTTCTAAATCAATAAATTAACTTTTTATTGGATAATAACGTATTCTTGCTCATTGCATGTGAATGGAAGATTCATCTGAGTTGTAATCTTTACTTTTGTTCATAGCGAAAATATCAGTCTTTTGCTCTTTACTTGACCATCATCAGCACGTGAAGTTACAACACAACAGTTTTGAAAGATCTGATATTCACAGTGCCCAACTAACCTCATTAAGACTAAGTTGAATAACCTGAAGAAAGTAGTCTCTTATAATGTGACAAATCAAAACTTTAAGTCTCAATTCGAAGATATGTTAATATTTATTCATTGGTTGAAGCAGTTTGCTTAGAAGGAAAATAATGTAAAAAAAGTGACCATTTAAAGGAGTACAACACTCTTGGAGTGGCGCAATATCATTTGTGTAAAATCTGGATAATCATGAGCTCTGCCTTTTTCACAGGACAAGGTAAGAGATAACATTTTGTTAATATTATTTTATTTTATGATGGTCCATTTGTACTTTGGATTTAAATTGCAGTGGTGGAAGTGGAGAATGTAGCAGAGGACACGACATGATGCACTTGAATAAATAATCTATCCTCGTACCTATTACATAAGAAAAGTTCAGATAACACACTACAGCCTGATGCATATTGTTGATGAGTATCCCCACTCTGGCAATCTCTAATTGTTTTCCATTATAGCAAGACTAGTGTGGACAAACAAACATGCAAAAACAACAATCCAGACTTAAATTACACTAATATCTGCAAACTTATTCATCTACTGAATGATGAAATATGCAGAGTTTGTGAATCATGGTGTTGGGCAAAGATGGCTCGTTAACACAGTAGAATAATCTCAACTTGTATAAATAAACCATGTCATGAAGTTAATTCTCCACTGTCTGATATGACGACCTTGTTCTTAGGCGAGCCACTTTCACTTCCTTCTGCTTCAATCTTGTACAATACGTCCATACCAGAAAGTACCTTGCCAAATACAACATGGCGTCCATCCAGCCTTCCAAGAAACAATTGGAAGAATGAGTTTGTTGAAAAGGGACCCAACAATAGCCATAAAAACTTGAAAAGTTACCTTTTCATCTCAGGCTCTTTTTTGTTAGACATAAATGTTTGAAAGCGTGTCTATTCTATATTAGGAAGTTGAATCATGAATGTCTAAGTTCAGCTTTATACTTATTTATGTTCAAAATAAAATCCATTCTTGATAAGTGAAAGGAAAATGGACCTTTCTAACTGAGATTCTGTTTGTGCACATAATGGAATAAAGTTTTCCTTTCAAACTTTTCTTTTCCACCAAAACTAGAATCGCATTTTATTCTAAGACAATAAAACCATTAAGAAAAACAAAATCATATTTATACCTGTCACAGTAAGGTTTTCACAAGTTAATTCTATTCAAAGTCAAGAGTATGCAAAATAAGTAAAAAAAATAAAATTAAATACCAGCTGGTTTTAACTGTGGTTATGAAAAACTGGGAGCCATTGGTGTCTTGCCCAGAATTCGCCATAGATAAATATCCTGAAAGGTGACAATCATGCAAGAAGGGTGAAGAGGTGCAATAATATAAATTATATTAACATTGTCATAATAATGAATATAAAAATGCCAGTAACAGAGAGATAAAAGTTCACCTGGTCCAGAATGCTTCAGCTTGAAGTTTTCATCAGCAAACTTTTCACCATAGATTGATTCTCCTCCTCTTCCATCACCACGGGTGAAATCACCACCCTGGACCATAAAGCTTGGTATAATCCTATGGAATGTGCTTCCTTTATAATGAAGAGACACCCCACTTCTTCCCTTTCCTTTCTCTCCTGAAATGAGATGATGTTCAAATTTGTAGTTTTTACTACCAAGAGAATTTATACAGATCAAGATTGATTCCAACTGATCATATATATAAGGGAGAAAACTATCAGCAACATAAGTAGTGGCACCACTTTAAAGTCAAACAACCAAAGTAACTATAGTTGCAAAGCTACCCGTACAAAGCGCCCGAAAGTTTTCTGCACAAAAGGGATAACATGATAAATAACCAAATCCTGTACATGACACTAAAATCTGTCTAAATAAACATCTTAAGCATTTCATTATAGTATAGCATGCCTTACCTGCAGTTTTCGGAACTGTGTTTCCGAAAAGGCCCATTACTATGCGACCTGAAGTAAGAAACAAGATTTTTACTGATAAGTGACCCATTCAGGATCATAACGTAGTGCTATAATAATTAAGCCCTAAACCGTAAAAAGAACACAACAACTAAGGCAGAAAAGAAGGGGAAAATATTGCACAAATTAACTTATACACAAATTAAAAGTCAATGTTTCAAAAAGTTAGCATAAGAACACTATTACAAATTAGCTGATACGTTAACTAAATTTAGGATACAAAGAAATTGTTTTCATCTTTTTTGCTTCGTACTTTTCTTTCATACAAATGTTTTGGAAGCTTGTATCTAAACATATCCTAAACCNCTTTCTTTTCCTTACTTTATTTGCATCTGTAAAGTTGTGCTGCACGCGCCAATGGATAGTCGCGTAAGCTCTTCATATGAAACGTATCACGGCACGTGCGAATGTGTGATTCTCTCTGTAGATCCAATTGCTAAATGGGGCTCATACTGTTTCATATCCAAATTTGGCTAAACGCCACTTATCATAGTTTATTATGTCTCTGCGATATTAAAATAATAATATTCCAAACAAAATATATATTATAATAATTAAATTACTTTTAATTTTATAAAAAAAATATATAAGAAAATGAGAAAAATGCAAAATTTTATCAGTCTTCACTGTTTAATAAACTTGAAAGAAAAATCTTAAAAGTAATGTATAATTGAACCAATTTAAAACAAAATGGGATACCGTGAAAGAGATTTATAAAAAAACTTTCATAATACCCTTGCCCTGATTTAAATTTAAATTTAAAATATACAGATAAGTGAAGTACATTTTTATTGTTTATAATAATACCATACTATTCAAATTAAATATCTTTGATAAAACGTAGAAATGATTATAGTAAAAAGAGAAAAATAATGGCCTTGTTAAAAAGACATGTTTGATCTGAAATCTGTGAAGTTTTGAAGAATAACATGTTTGCCCTTGCAGTGCTGTATATATATGGCATTGCCCCTTCCTCGTGAAGTCACAAAAAATTTGCTATGTCTAACCCAACAAGACTTGGTTGAGTCGTCTCTGCGTTTCATGCACAGCACATGAACTCATCTTGCTCCGCTGCAGACTCCACCATGGAAGATCCCTCCAACCACCGCCGCTCCAAGAAGCACCACCGCCGCCACAACAGCCGCCACCCCGCCGCTACCAACACCACGGTGAGCACGACCACCGGGGAGTCAGACGGGGAGATGGAGGAGGGGGAGGACGGCGACCCGGAGGTGTGGGCGAGCCTGAACAAGGGGTTCCGGCAGGTGCAGTCGGTGCTGGACCGGAACCGGCAACTGATTCAGCAGGTGAACGAGAACCAGCAGTCTCGGATGCACGACAACATGGTAAAAAACGTGTCCCTCATTCAGGAACTCAACGGCAACATCTCCAAGGTTGTCTCTCTCTACTCTGATCTCAACTCCAATTTCACCAACGTTTGCCAACACCGCTCCAAAAACCCTTCCAAATAAATCCAGTCATGTTTCCTTCTTTTTTAATCGTGTCTGTCTCTCTCTATATATGTATGTGTCTGTTGTTGAAGTTGAAGATTTGTGATGGTAATTTTTGGCTTTGTTTCCTCATCAATTGTCAATAAGGACGGTGAAAAGCGAAGCATACTATCGTCTTATTTACTTCTTTCTACACATACTATTACTGTTGTCGACTCTAGTCTTACTTTTCTGTAACTTCACTTTCTCTGTACTTCTAAATCAATAAATTAACTTTTTATTGGATAATAACGTATTCTTGCTCATTGCATGTGAATGGAAGATTCATCTGAGTTGTAATCTTTACTTTTGTTCATAGCGAAAATATCAGTCTTTTGCTCTTTACTTGACCATCATCAGCACGTGAAGTTACAACACAACAGTTTTGAAAGATCTGATATTCACAGTGCCCAACTAACCTCATTAAGACTAAGTTGAATAACCTGAAGAAAGTAGTCTCTTATAATGTGACAAATCAAAACTTTAAGTCTCAATTCGAAGATATGTTAATATTTATTCATTGGTTGAAGCAGTTTGCTTAGAAGGAAAATAATGTAAAAAAAGTGACCATTTAAAGGAATACAACACTCTTGGAGTGGAGCAATATCATTTGTGTAAAATCTGGATAATAATGAGCTCTGCCTTTTTCACAGGACAAGGTAAGAGATAACATTTTGTTAATATTATTTTATTTTATGATGGTCCATTTGTACTTTGGATTTAAATTGCAGTGGTGGAAGTGGAGAATGTAGCAGAGGACACGACATGATGCACTTGAATAAATAATCTATCCTCGTACCTATTACATAAGAAAAGTTCAGATAACACACTACAGCCTGATGCATATTGTTGATGAGTATCCCCACTCTGGCAATCTCTAATTGTTTTCCATTATAGCAAGACTAGTGTGGACAAACAAACATGCAAAAACAACAATCCAGACTTAAATTACACTAATATCTGCAAACTTATTCATCTACTGAATGATGAAATATGCAGAGTTTGTGAATCATGGTGTTGGGCAAAGATGGCTCGTTAACACAGTAGAATAATCTCAACTTGTATAAATAAACCATGTCATGAAGTTAATTCTCCACTGTCTGATATGACGACCTTGTTCTTAGGCGAGCCACTTTCACTTCCTTCTGCTTCAATCTTGTACAATACGTCCATACCAGAAAGTACCTTGCCAAATACAACATGGCGTCCATCCAGCCTTCCAAGAAACAATTGGAAGAATGAGTTTGTTGAAAAGGGACCCAACAATAGCCATAAAAACTTGAAAAGTTACCTTTTCATCTCAGGCTCTTTTTTGTTAGACATAAATGTTTGAAAGCGTGTCTATTCTATATTAGGAAGTTGAATCATGAATGTCTAAGTTCAGCTTTATACTTATTTATGTTCAAAATAAAATCCATTCTTGATAAGTGAAAGGAAAATGGACCTTTCTAACTGAGATTCTGTTTGTGCACATAATGGAATAAAGTTTTCCTTTCAAACTTTTCTTTTCCACCAAAACTAGAATCGCATTTTATTCTAAGACAATAAAACCATTAAGAAAAACAAAATCATATTTATACCTGTCACAGTAAGGTTTTCACAAGTTAATTCTATTCAAAGTCAAGAGTATGCAAAATAAGTAAAAAAAATAAAATTAAATACCAGCTGGTTTTAACTGTGGTTATGAAAAACTGGGAGCCATTGGTGTCTTGCCCAGAATTCGCCATAGATAAATATCCTGAAAGGTGACAATCATGCAAGAAGGGTGAAGAGGTGCAATAATATAAATTATATCAACATTGTCATAATAATGAATATAAATATAATGCCAGTAACAAAGAGATAAAAGTTCACCTGGTCCAGAATGCTTCAGCTTGAAGTTTTCATCAGCAAACTTGTCACCATAGATTGATTCTCCTCCTCTTCCATCACCACGGGTGAAATCACCACCCTGGACCATAAAGCTTGGTATAATCCTATGGAATGTGCTTCCTTTATAATGAAGAGACACCCCACTTCTTCCCTTTCCTTTCTCTCCTGAAATGAGATGATGTTCAAATTTGTAGTTTTTACTACCAAGAGAATTTATACAGATCAAGATTGATTCCAACTGATCATATATATAAGGGAGAAAACTATCAGCA